CATGCCTTATTGAAAAATAGATATTATGTTATCTTTCAGGCTTTATACACTTTAGACAACAAACATGTCACGATAAGGGGAAAACTAAACTTCAAAAAAATAATGAGGGCATGCTTGTCATCTTCTGAGGCATTAAAACAAAGTGCAAGACTGACTCATGTTCTGCAGGTGTTTCAAAGCTCTCTGTGACATCAGACCTTCAGCAGCAGGGTTGAACACCCCTGGAGTGGTAAGAACATCTGCACTGTGATCTGAAAGTGATTTCAGTTAATGAGGTCTTCGTGGAGCTGCTCCAGAACTTAACTGATCTTAATAAAACTTCAGATGAAGGACCCTTTTGTCACCTGTACAGTGCTCAGATTAGCTCAGAGGATGTGACTGTTCTGTATTCAAAGCCTGAGGCAAATACATATTTATAATTATGGATCCTGAGCTGTGTTGATGGGTTTGCATTTGTGTGAAACTCATTCAAATGAACACAAATTGACCAAACCGTATAATAGCTGGCCAGGAAATGCTCTGAACACTGAATAAATGGTCATGTAGAAGCTGTTAACTACACTCTCAGAAATAAAGATGTGAAACTGTCACTGGGGCAGTGCCCCTCTTGTCACTGGAGTGGTACCCTCAATGGTATATTTCAGTACCTTTAGTCAGGGAACATAACTGTACCATAATCCATTGAAATGATATTCTGTTTTAAAACATTCGGTTATGAAAAGTTACAAATACATACTTTTCACCAGGAAAAACTGATTTAAGGTTCACAACTGGACCTTAAAACCACTGTTGTACCTTTGAGGGAACATTTACATTGTTTGTACCTTTACAAATGAAAAATGTACCTGCACAGCACCTTTATTTCTAACAGTGTAGTGTTTTTCTCTTCTAATGCACTTTCCAGACATTTTTCAAATGTGAAAAGAATCAATTAATGGAAAACATAAATCAACCATTTTTAATGTGCAGAACATGCAGAACTCTGTCTAAGTGACATAAATGACAAGAGAATCATCTGCATATGTCAGGACATCCTCCTCCTCATAGCCTCCACACTAAAAAATGCTGGTTCTTTAACGGTTCTTTAGTAAGCAAGTGGTTCTTTGCATAATTAAAGGGTTCATTGCACCATAAAAGGGTTCTTCAGATTGATGGAGAATGTGTTGTATATGTTTCTAAATAGAACCTTTTTGAAAATGGTTCTGTATAACACCAAAAAGTTCTTTTATTGTTATGATGTCAAGCTTGTAATAACAGAAGAACCCTTGTTGGTGCCATCTTTTCAAAAAGGTGCTATACAGAACCGTCTACAGCTCATTCTTCATCAATCTGAAAAAAGATTTCACGATGTAAAGAACGCTTTAATCATGCAAAGGGTTCTTTGAGTGTTCATGGTTCTATAATGAACCATTTTCTTTACTAAAGAACCCTTGAAGTCTTTAAGTGTGCACCTCCATGGACAGATAAACAGCCACTAATACTCCAGACAAACAGGCATAATATGGCAAGAAGAAGGTCACAGGAAACAGCGTGAATGTCTATGGTCAGGGTTTTCAGAATATGAAAAGGTCCACCAAAGCTGGTCATCTTGCACCCATTACATATATGACAAATTTCCACCAGAGGGCATAATATGACCATTTTTGTAGGGATGTGCAGCGGGTTACATGCAGAGTGACTGTTCAGGTTCAAACAATTTTATCTGTTCATGTTTTTGCCATGAAATACATTAAAACAGCCAAGTAATCTGGATGCAAATGAGAGGTAATTCTCTTGCTTTATTCTTTATTTTCAACATTTTCAGATTTGTATAAAATATTCTTGGAATCTTTATGCACATAGAATGTTATACACAAAAATCACTGAAAGTAAACAATACACAAAACATATAGGACATTAATCTGAGCTTCAGTGTAATTAATATTATGACCCAAAACAGAAATGATGGTTATGTTATAAATCCAAACCTGTTTTTTATGCTCATTAGTTAGCATTTTGTAGTTCAGTTACATATAATGACTGTCAACCTTCAGGTTAGGATCTGAATTATGGCCAGTTTTTCACAATTCTTTACAATCACAGATTCTTTGTGCTGTACAATATAGAGGCAATAGTGAATTGGGTGTGCAAGGATGCATCTCTAGGGCTGTCATTATCAATTATATTAGTAATTGAGTAATCTAATGATTACTTGATATTCAATGATTAATTTAGTTGTCAGTTTTAAAAAAGGCCAAACAGTACAGATGGACTTAATTAAGCAACAACAAAATAAGAGAATAAAATAAGGAAACTAGTAAGTCTTTAAATGGGAATTACAATGACATTTCTGCATAATTCAATCATTGAAATGTAAATAATGTCATTCGGAGTGGTTTGATGTGAAATGGTTCATTGTAGAGACACTTACTGACTAGGATTTCTTTACAGTGGTGGTGATGGGAACCAGGGGTCGCAATGTCTACATAGGGGTGAACAAGTCACAAGGGGTGATAAGTCACAATGGACTTCTCTTAGCATATCGTGGATATCATCAGTACTTAAAGTACTGACTAACTGCATGTTTCATTACAAAGTATAATTAGGCCTCTTTAATTGGATATAGTGCAGTGCAGTTTGTAAAACACTGAATTAAAATCATTGTAGTTGTAGGGTTATAGTTCATAATTATAGTATTTTTATATGTGGCACAACAGGTGCTAATTTGTCTGCTCCAATTTATTAAATCTCAGAAAAACTGAATATTGTGATACATATTGTGTATCTTGAAAATGTCTTGAAGTATCACAACATAATATTTTTGCCTTTTAGCCCAGCCGTACATCTACAAATATAGCCATTTTACCTACGTGTCCTCTGAGTTTTCATATTGTCACTGTCCAAAAAAAAATCTCCTTTTTTTCGATTTTTATTTTTCAACACCATTTGAGCACAGCAGCTGTCCCCTACAGTGTGTGACAATTTCATGATGAATGGACAAAGACAAACGCTGAATGGAGCAAAATCTCCTTACATCTCCATACAGTAAAGTCGCTGTTGTGGAGATACATGTTTTTCTTTGGACAACGACAAAATGTAATGCTGATTATTCTAAAATAGTGGTAAACCTTTGGGGATGATTTTTTCATGAATGGATTTTAAAAATATATTTTTAACATTGAACATTTTAGGCCTTCTCAAAACTGTCGTAAAACATCGTCTCAGGCATCACGCACCATATTCATAACCATTTCATGCAATAGCTTTCTGGGTGGGAGCTTATAGAGGCATGAAATTCTTCAGATATCGTTCCTATCAGCACCACTGTCAACAATACTGATTTGTTGTTTTGAACAACTTTGTTTACATGTTAACATGTTAATTATGCAGAAATCCTGAAACTAAAAATACTGCATTAAAATCTAAAATATGAAATAACTTTCACAAGAGTCTAAAATATACATTATCTGCCACAGGGGTCCACGCCACCAAGGACTGCCCCTCAGCCTATAAGGAACTGAACCAGTCCCCCATGCTGAACCTTGCAGATGGGCAACCCACACGGTCCCCCATGTTGCATTTCAAGCTGAGCCTGGCTGGGTTACGTTGGATGCCCAGCCACTAGACACTCGCCGAGGCCCTGGCTCCAGGTCCTAGTAACCCTATCCCAGGCAGGGTACACAATACACTGTGTCAGTTATTCTTAGGGGATTGGCGTTGTCGTGAAAAAATAAAACTTTGTGTGTAGGTATGTAATTCTATATGTCTGTGTATTAGAACAGTTGGACACTGGTAGTGGGCAGAAATGCTTGTAGCATACAACAATTTGTAGAGCAGTTTAGTTTTAAATGTGCTTTATAAATAAAATTAATTACTTCACATAGCCAATTCATGTAGAACAGGGCTGGCCTGAATCATTCAAAAAGTATTTGTATGTTCAGTTGGTATTTGTTTCCTTATAGTATTTGGAAGCCTAGTCTTTTATTGTCTTTTAAGTGGCAGATACTTTCAGTCCTAAAGTCTGATTGCCTGAGCTGCGTTCAAAGCCGTTGTAAAATACTGGATATACACGTGTGACCGCCTCACAACAACTGAATTCTGTATTACTGCACCAGGAAAAACTACACTAAACTACACAAATGTACACTAACTGGACTACATTTGTTGGCGTAGTAGATTATTATTACTAAAAACAAATTATTTGTTTCTAATTTTAAATTTGTGTATTTAAGCAGATTTTATGTTGTTCGCCACGAGAGACTGTGTGTTACAGTGTTATATTACAGTTAAGGAGGTTCCAAAAATAACACACTTACCTGTGATAAAATCACTGTAACACACGGTCTCTGTGGTTTATTGCATTAAGTGAGCCCCTAAAAAGTGTTTCCTACTCAGTTAAGTTCCCTCTTTTCTTTACAAGACTGAAGCTTGTTGAACAACATTCAGGTGCAGAAGCTAAGTGCAGCCGGTCACTTGTTCAGCCACCATTTAGCAGAGAGATGAAGACAAACATAGATAGCAGGCTAGCTAAACGGTTTGGTTGATTCCTGTAAGATATGAACAGCTGTAAATCTATACAAATTTAGTAAGAAACACTAAAATGACTTGCCGACTTCTCAATCCTGAACAAGATTTTTCTTCAATCAAAATAGTTATTTTACTGGCTATAGAACTGTCCTTGGAGCACTAAGTTAGCAGTGTTATTAACTGAATGTGAACTGAAAATGAACTGGCTATTTATTCAGTAAACCAGCATAACTGACTATAAAAAAAATCACTAAACAAAGATTTAAAAAGATTTACTTACTTCTGTTACAAAGGTAAGCAAAAATCTCCTTATCTGGCACAACGTTACGGCACATCTGGCTCCTGGCATCTTCGGAATACCCATCATAACAAGAGATGTTTAAGTATGTCACTATTTGTACAAATCAAAAAACGGAATATTTTGATCACATTTTAAAAATAATGGTTAATTACAAAATGTGGATATTGTTTTTAAGGTTATTGAAGTCAAGTATTCAAGCACTGTATAGAAACACTAACGAGTATTCGAGGCCTGTAAAATGCTGTTTGGGATAGCCCTAATCTAGAAGGTATATTTTAATCGCAGATTTTTTAAAAGAGAGTAATCCAGTTTAATTGATTAATTGTGACAGCCCTGTGCTTCTCTTTGCAGCTCACCCCAAATATATTTGTCAAATTGCGTATTGTACTTTATATTGTGTGTCAAGATACGTTCCCTGTGCATTGGTTTAATATATTTGTCACCTTCTGAAAAACTTCAGGGCAAGCTTGAAACGCTTCGCTTCCGAGTTCTGTGGCTCTGGTTCCCAACCTTGGTCTTGAAGGCCCACTGCTCTGCACATTTTAGTGCTTTCCCTGCTCTAACATGCCCACTTCAACTCTGGAAGGGCTTGTTAATTAGCAGATTAGTTAGAGCAGGGATAACAATAAGATGTGTAGGACAGGGATCCTCCAGGACCAGGGCTGAGAACTATTGTACTGTTGGACTCAGTGGTCTGTTTTATCTGGATTCTGATTTCCACTGTGATCGGAAATGGATACTTCATGGTTATCCAAGTCCTGGATATTCATCATAGTCAGGTCTCCCAGTTCCACATCACTGGACATTAAAGCTGGAGAAGAGGAGTTCTCCACAAAGTCCCCTAAGTCCTCCTCAGGCTTGAGCCCAATGTTGTCAGGAATGATCTCCACCTCAATGTCTGACGAATCCTCGCTCTCCTTGAACCACACGGTTTTGTGTCTGTTCTGCCTCCTCCTCTCTTTAGTCAGAATGGATTTGACTTGGTCTTTAGCTCCCCGGGCTTTGGGGTGGCCGACTGGGCTGCTGCGGTGTACGTGGTTTGTATGAACTCTCATGCCACATAAGTTGCAGTGTCTTTGCCTCTCGCGGGGCATCACTCTCAGCCTTCCCGTTTGAGCTACCTCCAACTTCCTCTCTCTCTTTTCCGCTCTTCTGTTGCCTGACCTGCCCATGTCACCTTCATTCAGGAAGCCGTCGTTGGTGAACTGCAGGCTGTCTCTTGGCCTTGGCCTGTTAGTGGGACGATTAAGCTGCAAGCATGGACCTAAACACTGAATGGGGGCATAAGATCAATCCCACTTTTTGTTAAATCAGATGGACATCAGCAAATGCACCATTTATTTGATGTTAAATTGATCTTGTTCTAATTCTATTGTCTCTGACACTTTGTATAATATGAGCAATCAGAGCCGGACTCACAGAGCTTTGATGAGAAGTTGCTGACCTCAGATAACTTGAGTGTATTGGGGTTCTCCTTCTTCAGACGGGAGATGAGGTACCCAATCACAATGAGGCAGAGCACCAGCAGAGCAGCCATTACAAAGCCCAGCAAAGCCATATCTCCAGCACGGTATCCCTCTGAGGGCGACTGAACTCCCGCAGCTGTGAAGGAGACCGTGGAACATAAGCATTGAAATACTTGTTTAAACAGGATGACTCAGTATGACTTTAATATGATGGTTCAGCTAGAAATCAAAGTTACACACTTGTCTCCTTACACTCTCAGAAAAAAAGGTACAGGGTGGCACCCTAAAGCCACTAGGGTGGTGGCCCTCAAGGGTACGTCTTCAGCACCTTTAAGCTCCAGTCATACTAGACATTTGCCATTTGTATTATTATTGTATTAGAAGGTGCAGTTAGCAAGCTAGTTCCCCATAAATAGTAAAAACATGTGGAAATAATTATATCTGACATACTCACAGGAGTATAGTGCTGCACTGTGATCTATTGTGAATGTAATATGAAGGTATACATAATTGGCACAGTTGGTGGCAGTGGGGTGACTTATGTGCAGCTGCTGTTAGCCAAGGAGCTAACATTGCAGTTAGCAAGCAGGCTAACTCCCCTATTACGAACAGTAAAATCACAATAGTAAAGATCATACATTCTTACAACTGACTGCATCTCATGCAGTCTCTCATTCATTTACTTAAAGGCAGTAGGGAAGAAATGTTTGTGCTTAGACACTGGTTAAAGTAGCGCTTCCTCCATTTTGGATCTGTGGTGCTGCTATAAGAATGGTTAGTCAAAGCAGCCAAAGCAGCAACGTCTTTGGTTAAAGATGCAAATTCATGTGTCAAAGTTCACCACGGAAACCAGTCGTCATGGTGAATTTCATTGAAATGAATGTAATTTGCGCCTTCCGTCCAATGGCCCCTGGGATATGCTCCAGCTCCCCCCAAGAAGGGTAAGCGGCTTAGAAAATATGTGTGTGTGTGTGAATGTAATTTCCTCAAAGATTTCACATCAAACTAGTGTGACTTTAGGTAGGGAACATATTTGTATCATGTTCTATTGCAATAATTTTTTTTAGCTACCCTGACTTCAGGTTTTTTTATTTTTCTCTTTAAAAACTCTTTAATGTGCACAACTGGGCCTTAAGAACCATTTTGAACCTTTTAGAGTGCATTAATATTGTTTGTATCTTTGTGGGACAGCGTACCTTAAATGTGGTTGATAAGCCAAGATATATATTGGTGTATAGATATATATTGGCTCCTGCTACTTTTTTAGCAATTCAAAATATGCTTGTTCATTTATAGATAACAGTGTATCAAACAGAGTCAGAATCCACGTAAGAAATTACTTCATGCTGGTTGAAGCAAATGTGTAATGATTAACCTTTTCAGCTCCTTGGGACCACCGGTGGATCCAAAACGCACTTTGTCATATTTTTCATAACTTTCATATTTCATAAGCTACATTCAAAAGGTGGGTGTCATATGAGAGCTGTAACTGTCTTCTTTCCAGTCAAATAGATCGGTAATGTAATTTTAAACCTTTAGAATAAAAGAAGCTGAACTCACAATTTTTTTGTCTACTGAAAGTCGACCCATTTTTCCACAAATCTGGGCTATAAACTATAAACAGATGGCGTCTCTTCAGTGATCTGCTCTGTAAAAATGATTTTTATAAAAAAATACAAAGAGCGTCTAAGATTTTTGGCTTTCAGCAGTAAATTGTAAGCATATAGCAATATGTGTGATCATAAAACACATGTTCTGTTAATTTGAGGGGAGCTTTTACAAAAAAAAATAAAATAAAATAAAAATTTACATTTATTTCATGCAGTTACTGAATAATTTGCCTTACAATTTGATCATGTAAATTCAGTTGGAAAAAACAAAATATTCCCTGGTCAATAAGAGGCATGATGCTAAACTCATGGCTATAATCTTCATTAGTCTCGTAGCTGCAGTGCAAAACTAAAAAATATTTCAGATACCAAACATGTCTTTGCTGATCAACTACATTAGGTCTAAGAAGAAGAATGTGTAAATATGATATTTGGCTGAATCATCACTGTAAATGCAGCTACAGAGCAGTTATGATTCTTTTCAAATGAAAGAACTCACGTGGTAAAACAACCACGGACAAAGCTGCTGTCCCTGATTCACCAGTAGATACATCAACAGCCCGGACCTGCAAACAACCAAAAACCCTTTCAGATTGCTACCATGGAATGGTCATATTTTTGGTAAATAATTGCTCAAATCTGTAAGTTATCTTGAGAAATCTACATAAATTAGTTCTTCATGTGGGAAATTATATTTAGATGGTAGATGCTGTGGAACTTGTACTTGCCTGCAAAGCAAAGGAGTCGGTCCGCACAGCTTTCTTCAGAAGCACAAACCCATCTGTGGTTATGTTGACATAACTGCTGTACTGTACTTCATATCTTATGTCTGGATTTATTCCCTGTCAATGCAAATACAATATGCAGAGATCCAACTGTATAGCATCGCTCCAGTGGTGTGACACTATTTAAATGAGTTAAACTACCTTCTGCCTAAAATATTAAAAAATGGTGTTACACTGCAACCTACATTTGCAAAGTCATCATCCCTGGCTTTGACTCTAAAGGGTCTGTTTGAAGTCCTGTCCCTGAGCACCATGTTCTCAGGGCCCGAGTTGCTGTAAACATACGCCTCATATCGCTCCCTCTCGAATTTCGGTGGGTTCCTGCTCTTTTTCATCACCTCAATGTTGACTGAGGTGGAGGCAAACTGGTCTCTGTTTGACACCTGTGAAGCCTGGTTGAAGCAACATCAATAGAATATTTAATTAATATCAATTCCATTGATTTCTGAAATTCTGCATAAATCAACTGTTAAGATGTAAACAAAGTCATTAAGAGTGGTCTGATGTGAAACGCAGCGTTCTAGAGAAACAGGCTGACTCAGAATAGGAATAAGACATCCAAAGCGTTTAATGCCTTTAAAAGCTACACTGTGCTGCCAAAAGTATGTGGACACCTGACTACCACACCAGTATGAGCTTATTGGACATCCCTTTCCAAATTCCATTAATATTGAGTTTGTCTCCCTTGTGGCTATAACAGTCGCCGCTCTTCTGGGAAGGCCTTCCATAAGATTTTGGAGTGTGTCTGTGGAAATTTGCGCCCATTCAGTCAGAATAGCATTTGTGAGGTCAGGTACTGATGAGAGGGCCTGGCTCACAACAGACGTTCCAATCCATCCGAAAGATGTTCAGTGAGGTTGAGGTCAGGGCTCGGTACAGGCCACTGGAGCTCCTCCACACCAATGTCAAACCATGTGTATATGGACCTCGCTTTGTGCACAGGGGTGTAGTCATGCTGGAACAGGAAAAAGCATTCCCCAAACTGTTGTCACAAAGTTGGATATAATTGTCTAAAATGTTTCTGTTTGCTGCAGCATTAACATTACCCTTCAATAAGGGGCCAAGCCAAAACCCTGAAAAACATCCCCAGTCCATTATCCCTCCTCCGCCCAACTTTACTGTTGGTTTGTGTGGTCTACTTGGTTTGCGTGGCCTACGGCTTTGTGGCTGAGCTGTTGTATCTCCTAGAAGTTTCTATTCCACAGTAATAGCACTTACAGTTGATTGGGGCAGATCTAGCAGGGCAGAAATTGGATTAAGTGACTTGTGACAACTGTGGCATGCTATCAAAGGAGATTACATGGCTATGTGCCTGTTTTTATATACCTGTTAGCAAAGGCTGTAGTGGGAACACCTGAACTCATTAATTAGTAGGGATGTTCACGTAATTCTGGCCACATAGTGTACTTTACAGAAAGCTTTTACATTGCTATGAATATGTTTCCTGATGCTGGAGACCCTGTTTCACGAGCGTATTGTGATTTCATGTTATATGATTTTATAAACCTGTTCTTGGCAGAGTGGTACATGGAGGGCATTGTAAGGCAAATTAGTTCATAAAGACTTTTTTTTCTAATTTACCACTATTTTGCAATTTTCAACATTACATATAAAAACTCAGAAGATCAGAAGAAGGTTCACTGGTCATTTTTGATGGTACACAAAATGGCTATATTTGTATATTGTTAATTAGGTATTTCACATCAAACCCCTCTGAATGACTTTGTTTCCATCTCAACGACTCAACGTTGTATACAAAAACTTTGAACATTTTCAGAATTCCTTTTTAAATAGATTACAATCTTTAAAATTGGTTGGTAAACTTATAAAAAAAAATCTAATCATGTTTTAAGATGCTTCAAGCTCATACTATGCAACAGTCACCATCCACAATTTAGGTTCTAGTATCTTAGTACTAAAGAGGTACAGTAAAACATGCTGCTTACCAAAACTGTGAGTGATATCGGGCCTGCAATATCAGCTGGTTTTAACATGGTTATGTTTCCAGTGGTTTCATCTATTTGAAATATACTGTCTTCATTCCCTAGATTACACAAGTCGGTAAACACAACCATCTTATATACAGATCTATTAAATCCAGCTGTTCTCTTAAATAGCAAGAATTACAAAAACTATTACCTCGAACAATTTTGTAGCTTATCTCCTCATTTCTGCTTTTGTCACCATCTCTGGCATAGATTGGCCCTGGCTGCAACTGTAACGGGCCATCCTGAGAATCAAATATGCTCAAATGTGATTATTCTGCCGTGCATGTACTTCTTTAAGAATGATGTATTTCAGTGTAAATGACTTCCATAAGCATAATGTACACAAAGTCAGACTTTTATCATCCTAAATTATGCAGGAAAGATTGTTTACCTGTTTTTCTGTTAGATTGACTCTTCCTTTATACCCAAGACTTAGGCAGATCTTGGCAGTACCAAGAGTGGTCCTCATACATGGCTGGAACCAGGGTGGACGGTTGTCTATGTCTTTTATATTGACTCTTATAGTTGTGGTAGCTGTGAAGGACAGCTGGTCTGGTGGTGGAGGTGATGGAGTATCCTGTCAAAATGAAGAACTCTTTATGAGCGGTTTGGACATATTGTCTGTAGATGTACTGTCCATGCTTACTTTCCTCGACTGTTCCGTGCCTGAAATATCCGCTTACCTGCACATATAAAGTCAGTGTCACCTGCTGGACGACATCGTAATCCAAAGTCTTGTTCACGAGGATGTTTGGTTTGTACATACTCTCTAGTCTGAAATACATGTTCTGCAGAAAGGGAAATATGAATGATTCCCGCATTATAATCAGTTCAAAGTAATGAGGAGCAGGAGCTGGATGTAAACAAAGTGAAATGCACAATTTATCAGCTTTAATTTCTTTACAGTGGTGGGGATGGGAACCAAGGGTTGTATCATTCCTAATATACCATAATGCCTATATAGATTGTTATTTACCATCCAAAATGACCAGTGATTCTACATGTGTCTCCTGTGTTATATGTAACTTTGATAATGGCAAAATAGTGATATCAAAAAAAATAAGTTTTCCTTAGGGATTTCTTTTGCCTTACAACACCATGCATGTACCTCTCCATCATGAGTAGATAAAAAAATAAATATTTTAGGCCAAAACCTTATCTCAAACAATCATAAAACAGTATCTCAGGCATCAGGCAGCATATTCCTATTCATGTCATGCTACAGCTTTCTGTGATATCGCTTTTAAAGGCTTTGAACTCTTCAGATGTCTGGTTCCTATCACCACTACTGTGAACATCTCTGACTAGCTAAATTGCTTTAGAACAGCACATTTCACGTCTGACTGCTCAGAATGATGTTGTTTAAATTTAAAAAGTTTAATTATTTAGAAATTTTGAACAATCAGTAGAAATCACTTTTACAAAAACTGCATTAAGAATGCCAAAAAACAACAAGTTCACTTATAATGTTAGTTTGGGTTTATGTACCCAAAACATAATTCATTTTTACACAACCATTTTCTAATCTCTTTTTGTCCCTTATAATTAAACAGGCTATTTTTGTTGCTGTGCCTTTAAGAATGATATATGTAAATGAGCTCTGCTCTGATTGGCTGCCCTGTAATACCCATTCAAATAGCAGTCCAGACTGAAACACTGTTTATAATTTAAGGCTGAATGGGCGTGAATAAATTCCATACGCTTTAAAGGGCGTATATATGTACATGAGTTGATTTTTGTGATTAATTGGTTAAGTCAAAACAGGCTGCTTTTGCAGCTTAGTTTCCTTATAGGGATTGAATGGACTGGGGAGTAAATCGCTACTGTCAAAACAAAATCTCCAAAATGGTAACTTTACAGAAAGTAAAAGCATGTTTTACTTTTAATGTAAGTCAATGGAACCAGACTTTTTTTCTAAGTATATTTTGGCTGTTTCTTTTGGTCCATTCTTCGTTGAATGGAAATATGAGGTTTTGTACCAACAACAGCGAAATGACACGTTTTGAAGACTGTTTACATATCAGATCAAACTATTTTATTTAAGAAAACGCAGTGCAGAAAATTCTTAAATTTTTCTTAAATTTTGTTATTTTTAGTCCCATTTGTGTGGGTTTATGTACCAAAAACAGTTGTAATTCATTTTTACGCAATCATTTTCCAACCTTTCCAATCTTTATACCTTAGACTTAATCAGCTGTTTTTTTTGTTACTGAGCCTTTCAGACTGATGTGTAATATGACCTCTGTTCTGATTGGCTGCCCTGTTTTATGCCTCATTTAAGAAGCAGTCCAGCCTGAAATACTCCTTATAACTTCAGTGTGAATGGGCGGGGCTAAACTGCTGAAGGCTGAATAGGCAGATAAATGTAAATGTGCTGTTTTTAGTCACATCACAGAAACAAGTAATTTAAAACAAGCCGTTTATATGTGGCAGCTTAGTTTCCATACCGCGTCAAACTGGAAAATTAGTTTTTCCATGATACAAGCCCTTTAAGAATAATAAAGATTTTCATAAGACAATATTTGAGAAGTATGTTTTTGGAGAACTGTATTTAAGAGCATTCTTATAGTATTTGTCTTAGGTAAGTTTTTTTCATGGAAAAGCTTTCATGAATCCAGCCCCAGGATTGGTTACTTACCACATTCGGCTCCATGGTGTAGTATAACACCCCGGAATCATCATCTTTGGCTTCAATCAGGCCAACGCTGGTATTAATAGGCATGAGCTGTGAAAGAAGGATAATGTCATAGTATATGATGTAAAATGAAAATCACCATATGAACACATTATAAAAAAGCATAATTAGAGTTGCCTGTGGCTTTACAGAATCACTAAATGTTCTCACCTCATTAACTTCTAGCTCATATTCACTCCGGGCAAACGATGGAGGGTTGTCATTGATATTCTCCACTTGGACAAGCACAGTCAAAGTGATCTGTGGACAGCAAAAAGAAGGATTGGCTGTAGTCTATTTCAGCACATGCAGATTTCTTGTATGAAACACCAGTACCCACACATCAGACAGAAGACATTAGCTTTTAACAGCATGCTGCAAATAGAACAATTCAGACTCCTGGCCTGAAATAGAATGTGAAGCTGTTCAGATTCTTCTGCCCAAATTCATTAGCATAGTCCCAAATTAGCATTGTGTTGTAAGTGTGACTAATGCTGCTATGTGTGAGACACTTACGCTTTTAAAGCCTGTTTTATTGCAGCGGACCTGAACCGCAAGCTCCTCAGGATTTAATAGCTTCTGAAAAAAGAAAAATATGCATTAACACCATGTGTACTAGTATCTGCTTCAGATGTGCTGTCAATTTATTCAGCGTTCAATATTTCACATTAACCTGAAGTCTTCTTATCCAGAGAAGACTCTGTGCTTGTAAGTGTGGAAGGAATTAGCATTTTTTCTACAAACAGCAGTTTTATCACATTAGTAAATACAATAATATGAGACTTGCAGAATTCTTGTGGCCTTTAATTGTCAGATGTTTCCTAAATTCACAATCTTGCTTCTAAAAAAATGAAAAACAGATTTGTTTAAAAATTATATAGTATTATAAAAATGTATGTATGTTAAAAACTAAATAAAGCCTCAAGGATCATGTCTAGAAATGGCATAACGGCATCAATGGGCATCAGTATCAAACAAGTACCCTTAGAAAATGCAGGACTGGATATTGGAAGCTATGTCATTGTTATTTCATTATTTTCATTATTATTTGAAGCTTTGACTGGAAACAAAAGGCCTAAATTCTTGAAACACCCAACAAAAAATATCCAATCAGGATTTTATTCCGTCCATGTATCTAAGTAGATACACTCAAGTGAGCTCTGATTAAATCTGATTATGCCAGATTAAATACCAGCGTAATTAGAAACCAACCCATCACGTTTTGATTTCCAATGGATGAGACCTAATATATATATATATATATATATATATATATATATATATATATATATATATATATATATATATATATTTAAAATCACTGTTTCCCATACATTGTGTGTATGTTTTTCCTTCTCCTGTAAACTTACCATTTTGCAGATGTGAGGTTTTGTTCTGACAGCAGTGATCTATATTTATATCTATCTATCCATATATATATATATATATATATATATATATATATTTATATATAATGTCTGTTATAATAATCAAATAAAACATTAAATGTATATTACAATATCTGTTTGTAATCTAGAACGGGCAAAAAATAAAAAATGTTCATGCTCATTTGCCATAGCTTAGCGCTATTAAACTACTAGAATCCTATAATTGCGCTAGCAGAAATCAGCATTTTCATAAAGCTGTTTCTTTGGAATCATTTGACAGCCTGAACTGAAGGCCCAGCTCTAATAGTTATGGTTCACCAGTGGATGTCGGGAAAAAAGAATGAATCCAGTCCAAACCTGGCCTGAAATAGCACACATGCACATTGTGTGATGTCATGTTAGCTATATAATTCTACCTGTGAGGCAGAAGAGTGTTTGAGTAGTTCAAGCATGCTAGCCTACTTTAGATGCTCATCTTAAGTGAAGGGCTTCAATTAAAACTAGCTGATTTCTATGCTTAGTAGTTTTTAAAGAACAGACATTGGACTGATCTCCCTATCAGAAACACATTACTGTGCCACCTCTACTTTTTTTCCATTTTGATATTTAACCAAGAGTTTTAGGTCCATTTTCAGAGGAAAAGCTGATGGTAAACATACCTCAAAATCTAGCCGTTTCTTCACTATCAGAAAGGAGCCCTTCAGATCAAAGGCATCCTCTGGGTTCTCTATGAGAGTCAGTGTGACATCCTTTGTTGTTGTGTTAATATAAGCAACAACGATGTCAATTGTGTTGTTCTCTTTAATTGTCACAGGCTCTGAGGGAACTGAACAAACTGAAGAGAGAAGACAAATATTACTGTGCTTAATGAACCACAAGAGAAGCTACAAATAAACAACAACCAAAGATGATTTTACTTCATTTAGTGAATATAGAAAGAGGGCAAGTACATGAGTTCCAGTACAGAGAACTATATTTCATCATTCATATGGTGAGGCTTAAAAGCAGACTGATTAGCGAGTTTCTGAATCTTTGAACTGCATTTTAAGGAAAAGCACACGTTCTTCGGCTGATCCCGAACGGAGAGCCAAGAGGAAATTGTAGCATTTTATCTCTGTGCTGGTAATATCCACTCTAAAATGACAACAATCTGTCTAACCCATTTGTAACACAGCAGTCAGAATGGAGAAATTATTACATATTACGTGTCGTCAGTACAGTCATGTACGATAAAACTCCACAGCACTTCACAACGAGCAAACATTACTTATGCACTGTCAGCAAGTGCTTGAAGCTTGAACTATGAAACAAGTCTTACTTACTTTTTTGGCCTAGGCAGAGTTTATGAAGAAAGAACACTAACATGCAGCTGAAGGCAAACTTTACAGATTTTCGCAAATATTTCCTTTCCATGTCCCAGTATCTGACGAACACAAATAAGTATGGAGGACTATGGGGCCGTGGCACCAGCTGGTACTTCTTCACATAAAGCACTGACTGTGTTAGCTGATGAGTGGGAGTTGACTCCAGTCGCAATGTTTGTGACTTCATCTTACGGTCATATATTGCCTAAAGAGCTTGCCAACAGTGGACTGCTCCCTCCTACAAAAATACTTGCATCTGTTTTTGAGGGGTCATTTTGTATTAGTGTGGATGCTCCATCGCAGAGAAATGGCACAAGAATGTACCTGCAGAATGGAGGCATTTTAACTTCTTGGCACTGAAATACAGAAGAAATGCAGTCTACATTTGTGAGGCTTTTCAGATGTAAAAGAGCCAAGCCTGAAAGAAGACTCTAGTCAAATACATTGGACCAAGTCTCTGAGCCAAGATTAGGCCTAGAGTGCTAGACTAAAACAGTGTGAATCATTGAATCTGGATTAAGATATTATAAAACATGAAATATTCCCTACTGTTTCTTTCTCAAAAGCTGGCCACTGGGCCTCAATGAGTAGTTTTCAGGGTAGAAATCTAGGACATATAGGGTCAGTTTCCCCAGAAAAGATTTAAGCCAAGTTGTGGAGCTATTAAAGGGAGAAAATGTAGTTTAGGACTAGGCTTAATCCCTGTCTGGAAAACGAACCCTATATGACCTAGATATTTGAGTTTTACCCTGATAACTACTCGTTGAAGCCTAATGGCCTGCATAAACAGGGCTGGACTGTAACCAAATGCAATTATTCAGAATATAGAAACTGAATATAGAAAGTATCTGTATTCAGTCCATGTTATATTTTATGTTACAGATACTTTTTTAATTTTCAAGAGAACACTTTTGGAAAACTTACTCGATAAATAAAAAAAAATCTACAGTGTTTAAAAGATACACCATCAATGTTTATTTATTAACTATTTTAAAATCAGCGCATGGCAGTGTGTGAAATAACCCCCCCAAACTGTGATTGGGGGGTCTCTATGTTTCACTGTGGACTGAACACGTAATTTTTACTTTGGTATTATGGAGTGCAACCTCCCATATTTTGCACCTTGTAGCAAAGACACTTAATAGACGCACTCCAAAGAGAAACTCAACAAACAGCCTCTACAAACACTGTCGTTCCTGCTAAAGCCTGAGTAGACTGATAAATCAATATGACGAGCCAGTTATTTATCTCAGTGTTACTGAGCTTTTTGACTGAACTGAAAAGCAGTAGACATTTCTAGAGTGATAAGTTTAGCAGCAGTGTTATACTGGACTGTGTGCATTTTGTGGCATGGTGTTACATACATGTCATTAACTGAAAATCACATACTTGCTCACTTTATAGTCAAATTATTAATATATTTTATTGTGATATGATGAATTGTTTATAGATATATTGTTTATAGATAATATAAATAATATGTATGTTATAGATAATAATACTTTTATAAGCAAAAAAAAATCTATAAACTACATCTATATATATTAAAAGAATAATATATGTTGTTTATAGATAATAATTATTCAATATTCATATTATTTCATATAGTAATAGAAGAAAACTGCCAGCCAGTAACAATAACAGCAAGGAACAGTGTGAATGATGTAAAAATTACATCAGCAGAGTCTTTCCCATGTACCTTGCAATATATTCTCAGTGTATTCTAACTGTATTCTGAATATGCTACTTTTTATGTAGTGTAAAAGAAAATGTCACTGAATAGTTATACAGTATTCTGTATATCTATTCAATAGTATCAGTATTCCACCACTATGTTTTCAAAGTATTGCACCCAACTCTGATAATAACACACATCACCGCTATCTTTTTCCAGACATGAAAGAGATTGAGAGAAAAAAAAAAGGCCCAACTTCAAGTTGAGTGGTACATTCTTACAAATGAAAGTGCCAAAAGTTTCTTTGGGGCGATGCCATAGATGAACCACCTTTCAGCGAATGGTTCTTTAAATAACCATATTTGTAAAAAGATATAAGTCTGAAGATCCATTTTAAGTTTAGTAATGTATAAGTCCGAGCTGTCTTGCTCTTAAAAGAAAGGTGCCACAAAGGGTTCTTTGAGCAACGCAAAAGAACACAGGTGTCCAGTCTTGTTCCTGAAGATCTGCCATCCTCCAACTAAACAGAACAAACCTGATCCAGGTAATAAAGGCCTTCAGAGGCATCTGAATATCAGAGCCAAGTGTGCTGGATCTCTCCACGATGCTAGATCTCACCAGGACTGGGCACCCCTGACAAAAAAACAACATAATATAAAGGTTCTTTACCACTTTATTGGTTCTTACAAGAACCTTTACATTATGTGGAGGTTCTCCAAACTTTGAAAAAAAGCACACTCGCACATCTTATTTACCAAATGGTTCTTTAAAGGATCATCCATTTTTGGGGTTCTTTAGGGAACCAAAAATGGTTCTTCTATGGATCAAAGAGAAAGAACCCTTTCTGACACCCTTATTTTTTAGGAGTGAAGAATAATTTAGGAACCTTTCTTCTTAAGAGCCTTGTCATGCTATTAGGCTTCCTCATTCTGTGTCAGAGTGCACTAGTACACACAATCGTGACACACTCTGGTATTATACATGTTTGGAGACAAGTAGAGCCTCATGAATCCGGGCTGCCTCCCTCTGCCCCCCCACTCCACCCCTCACTGCTGCTGTGTGTGGGAACAACAGGCACACAGTGCTACATGAAGCAGACACATTGTGCAGCCATGTAGATGCCTGCTAATGTCATGTGTTTGGAGGAGCAGCCCAGGAGCTCCGCACAGCTGGGCTGGAGGCTGCCTTGTTTTATAAGACAAGATCATGGTTTAACGTTCTTGCCTAGTATAAAAAGAAATGCAATAGCAGATGTGATCTGGAGGTAAACACAGAAAATAAACGATATTAATTAGTAGTAAGCCAAGGTTAGAGGTACAACTAGGATCTTAAGGGCCTCACTGCAAAAAAAACCCTCGCAGATAATTGAAATATCACGTTTTTGAGATCATTCATTTTGGCCAAATCACATCATATAAGAATCTAGGACAAGGTGGAGGGAACTGATAATGCATTATCCTTTGTATTTGGTGGTTGATTTCATCTGTGAGCTTTCTACTATACTGCATTACTATAGCTGCAGTATGCATGTCCAGCAGCAGAGGGCAGCATATATATACATGAAAATGTGTGTGTGTGCGCATATGAATATATATATATAGGCATAACATTATGACCACCTCCTTGTTTCACTTACTATACAGGTGCACTTTGTAGTTCTACCATTACAGACTGTAGTCCCTCTGTTTCTCTGCATACTTTGTTAGCCCCCTTTTACCCTGTTCTTCAGTGGTCAGGACCCTCACAGAGCAGGTACTATTTGGGTGGTGGATCATTCTCAGCACTGCAGTAACACTGGTTTGATGGTGCTGTGTTAGTGTGTGTCGCGCTGGTCTGAGTGGATCAGACACAGCAGTGCTGCTGGAGTTTTTAAACACTGTGTCCACTCACTGTCCACTCTATTAGACACTCCTACCTTGTCAGTCCACTTTGTAGATGTAAAGCCAGAGACGATAGCTCATCTGCCGCTGCACAATTTGTGTTGGTCATCCTCTAGTCCTTCATCAGCGGTCACAGGACGCTGCCCACAGGACTGTTGGCTGGATATTTTTGGTTGGTGGACTATTCTCAGTCCAGCAGTGACACTGAGGTGTTTAAAAACTCCAGCAGCAGGTCTGGGAGCTAAACAAATTGAACTCTGGGAGCTAAACAAATTGAACTCTGGGAGCTAAACAAATTGAACTGATACTCAAAGCTTCATAACAGCTCCACCAAAACGGTGGTAAAGGTCGGATCTGATCCTCTCATGTGAAGTTTTACATGGTGTTAAAATAGAAGTTTGATATGGTGTGTAAACACTGTTAAAGCTCCAGACTGTGCCAGTCAGTTCATCACGTCCATATATACAAATTAAGATGCAAAAACAGTGCATTTACATTTTTCTGCCTATTCTTGAGAACAAATGTTTCAGCCTGGACTGCTTTTTGAATAGGGCACAATACAGGGCAGCTAATCAGAACAGACCTCATTTACATATATCAGTTTTAAAGGCATAAAACACAAACAGTCTGTTTAATTCTTAGGTATAAAGAGAGGCTGAATGATGGTTATGTGAAAATTAATTATTACTGTTTTCAGCACCAACACTACCATTGTTAGAAGTGTCCTTAAAACCACATGACAAATGTAGGATATAGGCCCTTTAACTCACCACTGAACTGTGCTCAAAGCTGCTTAGAGCTGGCTGGAGTCCTTCCAGCATGTTTGTTGTAGCACTGACTAAATACTCTTGTAGGTCAGTCTAAATACTGTTCTAAATATTTACACCTAACTGTATGGGATGGTTCATAGCAGGGCCGTTGTTCATAGTCCGTATTAAAGCCCAGCTGTCATATACAGCTGCGAGATCATATGAGACTTCAGCCAGTGTAGGAGATAAATTGCCACACACATTTGAAAAGTCCTCTAACAGAAGGTGAAGAGACAACAAAACTGTCTGTTTTAGGTCAGCTGCTATTTTAAGATTGCATTTTTAACCTCCAATTCACGTTAAGGAAATACTCTCTGCTCCTCGCTGCTCTGCTGGCACACTTTTCGTCACTTTACCTCATTTTAAGTTACAAAGAGCAGTAACATGTTAGCCCAGTTTCAGAAGGTAAAGTCACTTCGTTTCAGACATGGTATTTTAGATTTTATGAAAGCTGGATTGATAGAAGGGCTGTAGAGAGTACTACGCAAAAATCAAAGACCACCTTTCATTTAACTTCCAGTCAAAAACATCACGTTATTCATTTTTTCAGGAGATATTAGTGGATGTATAGCCACAAGCGGCAATATGAGGGGTCCAAGCATTAATCAGCACAATGAGGCCTCATATTCCATGATGTGGGGTTAAGGTCATAAACATAACCTCCAGGTGTTATGGTTTTACAAATTATGATTTAGGATCTATGCAGAGTTTTGCAAGTATAATTGCCACAAACACTA